TTTTGTTCTTTTTTTTTCTTTCTCGTTTCAGACATCTTAGATTATAGTACCCTCGTGTTACCGACCGATTCCACAGGCAACCCGGTCTTCCCGCCGATCATGCGCCCGAAAGGTATCATTTCTTTCTGTTTCTTTATTATTGTGGTATTAATGGTATTTACGTATGTTTTGTTTTGAAAGAAACGTAGGAATAGATCGTTGGATAGAGGAGGAATAAATAGAAACGATGTAGCTCGCAGTGTACAGGTCTTTTCTCTTCTCAGGTCAACGAAACTCTCTCCAAGTCTCTCAACACTTTAACCAGTTAACTGTGTTTGACGAGTATACGCGTCATCTTGAAACTCTTGACACTAGATTTACGGAACGCGTCAAATTGACGCATATTGGATTATTCATTTTTTCAGATAAACATGTAATTCTTCTTCGCTCCGTTTTAGTTTTTCGTTAGGGTATATTTTGCATTTAACTACACTTCGTTATTTGATTTTATTGCGCGCGCAATGAAAGATTTTTCAAACTAAATTCCACACTTAACTGGTTAAAATCATTCTCTCCCCCACAAGCATTCTTGTTACACTTCCGACGAATTCTCGAACACCCTACTCTCAACTTCTGCAACACCCCACTTCTGCATCCTTCGGAAAGACCCACCAACCCTTGGGCCTGGTCTCCATGAGTCCCTTTCTCTTTTATGGCCCATAGAACACTCGCTGTCCCACTGTCTTAACCATTTGAACTCTGTAGGCTCCAGTATTGCACCAGTTATAATATTAAATATTTTAATGAATCTTAAAGAAACTATCCTATAATTATTAGATTTTCCGCACATCCAAATTTTGTACTACGAAGGGGAATAAAAGATCAAAAAAATTTTATAGGAATACTATAAAAATTAGTTGCAATTGCTGATAGATTACAAAACATCATGAAGTGCTAAGGGTTGAAACTACGATACTACACTCGGCCATTCCTGACAAAAGATGCCTGACCTCAGGTATCGCAGGGTCCATAAGTTCTTTCGGTGTCTCTACACAAGTGGTCAGTATGTGGAATAATTCGTCGAGGGTTTCGAAACAGAATTGACTGTTTCTTCGTGTTCGATCGCTTCGGTTGTATTACAACTTCTACAATTATACTAATTTTAAAAACGCATTTATGACGGCGAAACTCGTATCTCTTTTTCGTAATGACACTAAGTGATTGCCGTGAAACGTCGCTAACACTTCATCGTTGCTTATGGAAAATACACATCCCTTTAGTTCACCTCGCTTTCTCTCCGCTAGAATATAATCTACGCAACTTTGAATAACTTTTTCTACCTTTCGGCGCATCCCTTGGAACCAGTAATCCCTTCGCAATAAAACCTTAGTCTCACTCCGAAGTGACCGCGCTCGCCGAACTACCTGTACCTGCATAGACTTAGGTACGATCGCCAACAATCTTTCACCGCTCTATACAAAACATCGCCTTTAACATAGCCATGCGCTCGGTTTTTTCTATATCTTCACAAATATTACGCAAACCGACGTCTTCGTTCTGGTCCTACGCAGGCTAACTAATGAACCATCATAATCTTCATTCGCAAACATTAACCCCTTGCCCTACGATTTATTTCTCAGTTATGATCGATACAACTACTTTGACATTAATAATGATTAACAAAAAGAATAAAATGATAAGCATATTCTATATCAATCTTTACTATAAAGTATAATAATTGGTAACAAAAGAATAATATTTAATTTTAATTCAGAAGAATTGAGTAACGAGAAGAATCTTCGCCACGAGTCTGACACGTTATTGTAAGGCAAGGGGTTAACATATAATCACAGCTGAAACCATATAGAATCCTCCATTAGAACACTTGCTGTCCCACTGTCTTAAAACTACATTATCCGTTCATCCTCGTCCGTATTATTTGCGTTAATCTTTCGTTCCCCGAGTGTTTCCTCGAGTTCCTCCCCGGTCGCGGCCGATTCCGTTCGGATCTCCCTTATTACGTTCCACGCGAGATTTCATTTAGACACCCTCGACCGGCCCCGCCGTTTATTTTCCGAGTCGAGCTCCATCGAAGATCGGTCCCTCCGATCTACCCCTGTCGAAACCGCGCGGCATTATTGCACGCTCAAGCAGAAACGCCGGGGCAGCCTGCGATCGCCGCTTTCTCCGCGATTAGAGTCCTCTTAACCGAAGGATTAACCATTATCGTCCGGGTCAGCGGGCTCGGGGGCGAGTATCGATCGCGCAGAGCTGCCCGGAGCTGGAAAAATAACAATTCCGCGGGACTGCAGTTAATGACTGCGCCCAGCGTTCAGGACGAGTCGCGTTCGTTGGGCCCATCCTCCCGTTATCCGGCGATATTCGATTGTCAAGCGCAGAACCGCGAAGCTTCCCGGGAGCGGAGGCTGATCCCGGCTCCGCCGAATTTCCGACTGTCTTCCGTCGCCCGGGAAAAATTCCCGCGCGAGCGGATTTCGCTGTCATCGGCCCCGGCTTCATCGAGGCTTCCCGACGAGAAAGAAACGTTCATCAAAACTCGCTCCCGTGCGGCGATTCCGAAATTCCCCGCGATACGTGGCCCGCTTCTACAAACGCGGCGACGTTCGAACGCGACTCGATATTTTCGAGTGGCCGGCTGAAGAACGAATCGATAATGAATCGGGACGACGGAGCTCTCTCTATCGCGCTGATTAGGAGACAGCGGCGCGTCCGCGATTAACTTTCCCCCGAACGAGAATAATGATCATCGCCTAAAACCGTCGAGACGGAAGCGTGTCGCGCGAAGAGTCGCGGCGTGCCTCGACGGTAGAAAAACGGAAGTGCCCGGCGCGACGCGGGGCAAAAATTTCCATTCGCCGAATTAATTGCAGCCACTCGCGTTTCACTGTTACACCGGTGAAAAGCTTTTTCGGGCACAATAACCGGGTTTCGGTTGTTCGCGCTGCCTTCGAGCTCCATCGGGAAACCATTTATATTTTTATGCTCGGTAGGAAGGGACGGGCGACGCTGTTTTCGCGTGTTTTTCACCGCGCCTCCTAATGCGGCCCGCGCGGCGCGGCGGCCCGGCAATTTATTCCGCGCGGAGAGGCGCGAGTGCACGCCCATGGAAATGAAGTTAACAAATACGGACACTGTAAATACCGCAGAAACGATCGCGGAAATATAGGCCGCCCCGGCTGCGAGGTATATGTTTTTCCATCGTGGAAATTTATCGTATTGTGTCCGGCCATTGTTCCGCGTTCGCAAATAATCGGGAATATTGCGCGCGGGCAAATTCATCGTAACAAGAACAACGGCTCTCCACGCTCGCCGATTGTTCGGTTTTATTTCGCGTTTCTTCTCGTCTCTTCTCTCTCTCTCTCTCTCTTTTGTCTCTCATTCCCTTCCTGTCTCTCGGTTTCTCTCGGTTTCTCTTCGTCACTCTCCGTTTCCCTCTGTATCCTCCGTTTTCCAGCGTGCCCGCGCGTCTCTCAATTAAACGGAACGACAAATAAATCTCGGCGAACGGTAACGTTACCCGTCGCTGGCGTCCGCCGCGCGGATGCGTCGCGGACCGTCCGCGGAACCGCGTTGATGCAACTCCTCGGTGGAATCGGAGACGCGTGAGGTCATCTTCTGTCGTCGCCACTCGCATATATAATGTTACGGCCTAACTGCTTCCGACATACATTCGTTAGCGTTATTAACGCCGCGAACGCCAATCCCGAGCGACGCCGTATCTGACCGTGCAGATTCGAGGAAACGTTAATGACGCTTTGAATCGACGCTCTGGGGCCGTGATGTAAAAAAAGAGAAAAAAAGAAACGTGAAGGCACGTCCTCGTCTCTCGAGTATCTCCGGAGTGTCCGTTCTGTATCCCCGCGGGCGGTGCCGACGACGATCACGCTAATTCGATTTAAATCGTCAGGACCGAAGCCAGGTCCCCCCAAGAATCTCACGGTGACAGAGATCAGTAACGGTTTCCTGATAACCTGGCAAGCTCCTGTGGAACGGAACCACCTTATCCAGTACTACACCATTAAGTACAAGACGGACGGACCCTGGAAAACGCTCAACAAGGGACAAATCCGACCCGAAGAAACCAGTTACTTGGGTAGGTATTCCTAGCTGCGCTGCGTTCATCGATATTCTATCGAAAAATCACTTTTCTTACTGTTTCTCGTTATCGACGTAGGATCGTTGTATGTTAGATCATTGGATACTCACCGGTGAACGATGGTTAACCCTTTGCACTCGAGAGGTGACTCTCAGTCACCATTTGATACAGCAAAACTAAGTTGAATATTTAGTATTTTAAATTGAACTTTGTATTGCTATGGGGAATATTTAAATAAAATAGCTTGTCGCTTAATTTATCTGTGAATTATCGTTAAATTTCAAACGATGTCGTCTATGTCGTCGAAAAATGTGGAACGTTTCCAGTGAAAAACTTTCTAGTGCAAAGGGTTAATTGACTCTAGGAAAATTAGAAAGTTTTATATGTACTATCAACCTTCGTACAATGCATCGATACGCGAAACATTGGAATAAGATGGGTTTGTTTCTTAATTTCCGTATATTTCCTCGTTTTAAAGAATGTCATCTATATCGAGTACAAAGGGTTAATAAATTCCATCGATACGAGGAATATTTGAAAGAAAATATCTTTACCTAATTTACGATTTCTGGTTAAATTCATTTTAAAGAATCTTACCTACATCTTAAATCTAAGACTCTTAACCAATTAGACTAACTTACTTCCAGTTTCTCGTACAAACTACTATCACACAAACCCTAAGAACAAGAAACTCCCGACACATCAGGTTCACCAGTAAATAAAACTGTAAATCACAGATCAAGCAATGATTCCCTGTTTCATGCGCGAACGCGGCCGGCGTGCAGTGAAGAATCTGGTCGGCGGCAGGACCTACTATTTCCAAGTGTTCGCGAACTCGGCGACGAACTACGGCGCCAGCGAGCAGGTGAAATTCCCGGTGCCCGCCCGCGTGAAGCACAAGGCGATCACCGCCGGCGTGGTCGGTGGTATACTGTTCTTCATCGTCGCGATCATCCTGAGCATATGCGCGGTGAAGATATGCAATAAGCGGAAGAGACGAAAACAGGAGAAAGGTAGGGGAGCGCGGCCGGGACGCCTTGACGCGTCCGTATTAAATCGCCGTCGTGTCACGTCGTCCCCGACTCTGGCCTGCACCTGGGCTCTCGGTCGCGAACGCCTCCTTCGTGACTTCGTCCGTTCCGCGGCGGCGACGGACGAACTGTTCAAGAAGGACGGCGACGACGACTGCGGTAACGCAGGAGCTGGGCGAGCCACCTGTCCACACGAACACGCCCCTTATCCAGTTAACATAATTTTGTAACATTGTAGAACTGCTTTCAGCGTATAGTATGGTGACCTGCCGGGTCACCGACGCCAGGAACGGCGCAGGGCAGGGGCCCCAGGGAACAGTGCCTTTGAAAAAGTGAGTGTCAAACCGCCGGATCGTTAACGTTTACTTTTCTCCATTTATTTTCTCGTTTTTTCTTTCTATCGAGAACTCATACAGGTTATATATATCCGAATCACACTTTGAATCTCTCGGTCCCCCTGTTACACGGGGACACTCTCGAACGATTTAATGCCAGAACCGAAGACGTAGGAGGTCGCATCTGCGCCCGTCCCTGTACGAGACGAGACGGAGGTGTCGCCTCTCGTTCGGAAATTTCGGGTTCGATGGAACAGAGAAACGGCTAAGATTATACGGAAAGTACGGGACGAGGCAGATGAGACCTCGAAGAGATATACATCACTTAGGTTTAGCCAGAGCTAGCAATTAAGTCCACTCCACCCCCTCTTACGAGCATTAGGCGACCGAAGCACCGCAAGCATTTACGAAACCTCTCACGAGTAATCAATAGCTGACAAAATGTTCGAGATGATTCTATTACCTGATTATGCATACATATATATATATCTCTATATAATACATATATATTACTATACGTTGTTTCTATTGTCACGAGTTTATCGAGGTTATGTATTGACACTGGACCCGGGACGCGGATCGTTCGTTCGATAACCGAGCCCGATCGACGGCCTGCCTCCGACCAGTCGGAACGCGGTGTGTAAGTATGCGTTATCGGGCGAACGACACCGTTCCCATTTGATCTACCAGATCGCTATCGCCGTGTCTACCTGGGAGGCCCGCCAGGGACGCGGGGGACGACCCGTTCCTCCGCGGAACACCGGTTGCCGCCCTCCACCGTGGCACCTCGCTTATCCGAACACGAGGATCACGTGTGCTCGGTTGTCTCCTGATCTTATTTATTGCGGGAATTCGAGTTTTGAAGGTTGGATGATGTAGTTTGTTTTTATAGGAGATTTTTGCTTTTGGCGTTTGGAAGTTTACTCTCTGTTATACGAACGTGCGTATCCTATGCACATACACAGGAACTACCGAGTACGTCGAAATGATTTATTTCTACATTCACTTTTGCAGTTCTTAACACTTTACGGGCATTTATTGTACACTTCATTCTATTATTCCTAAAAGAATCGATGTTCGTTTATTTAGATTGTGGAAACTGGAGATTTGATAGCAGGTAATTGGGGTACATGTCAGTGTGATCGCATCGATCAAAATCGGCGTAAACATTTACGAAATAATATTTCTAAAATCCAATATGCGTCGATTTGACGCGTTCCGTAAACCTAGTATTAAGGAAGAACAGATGCTTAGGGAAATGAGCGATGAAAGTGATTTAGATTAAATTGTAAATCGAGTGGAATCTCAAGTGTTGGAGTTTCTATGGATAGATTATAAGATCTAATCGAATTACTCGGTAGTTGGTGTTAACACGTTGACACTTTGAAACCGGTGAGGAATTCTTTGATTTTCAACTAGTCGATTCTAGTTCGGTCAAGATTTTATACTTTGAGAATAAAATTATATTTTTTGGTTTATAATATTAACCTTTAGCACTCCAGATGATTTTATAATTTATCAGCTGCAACTAATTTTTATGGTATCTCCAGTGAAAATGAAGAATACTATAACATTCCTTCGATCTTTTATTTTCCTTACAAAATTTGGATGTGTGGAAAATCGAATAATTAGGTAGTTTCTTTGATCCGTTAAAATATTTGATATTATAACTGGTGCAATATTGGAGCCTACAGAGTTCAAAGGGTTAATATAACGTATGGTGTCACGAATATTGGACGGATTTAGACGATATTTGTGTCAACGTGTTATCTAGTTTTTCGTGTAACCGAGAGTACGATAATGGCTCGGTTAATAGAGGTTCGGATAAGCGAGGTTCTACGTAATTCGTCGGAAGGGCGGTGGGGACACGCGTAACGGAGGCGAAAACAATAGGGAACGGGACAAGGGGAGGTCGATTATCCTAGAGAACCGAAAGATCTCTTTTGATCTTGCGCCGTACATGACACAGCGCGAGCAACCACACGTGTGTATGACCCATCACGTAAAACGGCAGACTAAACCGCAGCAGCAGAGGTATTTTGGACGAGGTTGGAGAGACCGATCCGTTTCGACGATCGTCGAACGATCCCCGAATGGACTTGTTTCGCGTCCGTCTCTGCGCGTGCACGGCTGCGAGAGTTCCGGTCGATTTGCGTTGCCCGCTCGGACGTGGCACGGTTGTTCCATTTGTAAGGAGGGACGTACAACAGTCTCGATGATACGTCAATGATTCCGAATCAGTGGAGATATAGGTGGTTCAAATGATCCACCTGAAAACACAGTTGAAATTAGAAACGTTAAAATTGACGTGGCAACTATGAAATCGTTAATACGTTGAGCTCGAGAATTTTTAGTATTTTGTATATTAATTATTCTCTCGTAACAATGACAAATAGTATTAGAATCATTAATTAATAATTTAGTCTGTTTAAAGTAGAAAAGCTACATGAAACATTTAGCTTCTGTCTAGAATTAGCATTTCAGTATGTTCATAGCTAAAAACAAAATAACGGTAATAATTTTAGAATGGACAAATCATCCACAATACTTGACGAAAAAAGAGAAAATCCATAAAATATGAAAAATTACAAAAAATTACTTACAAGATTATTAACACTTTCACGTCCGCACGGTTCACAATTATTTTCATCTCTGTGCCGGAACTTTTTGCAAAGTTGCTCATTAAAATGTACAAATATAAAATATAAAATTCACAACATAATAAACTTAGCTGCTTTTTATTAAATGATACGTGTAATACGTGTATTTAATGATACGTGTAATTTCCAATAGCACCACGTTGAGGTCACCGGACGTGAAAGCGTTAAAGAAAAATACTTTCTGGACTCCCTATAGGACCCCACTCATCATTTTAACCCTTTGCGGTCCGGAGTGCTCTTGGTTTCTCACTTTGAGGTTCACGTCGACGTTAGTTCATTCAATTACAGCTGAATATGACACATTTATTTATTCAAGAATATTTGGGAGTCACTGAAATGTTACCTTCAAATACAATTGTGATGCTACAAATAAATATAGAAAAAATTGTTAAAGGTAGAGGTTGCAATAAAATAGAATGTCGAGTCTGACTCGAGGACTGCTAAGGGTTAAGGGTTAAAGAAATGACTACAGTGGCGTACACAACTAAAAGCTCGAAGCTCCCTTCATTCATATAACAACAGAACGTAACGATACAAACAATAAGCGTCCAACCCCGAGAGGAACCGTGCACAGACATCTCCACGTCCGATCGTCCAACGCGGATCGACCTTTCCAAGCGCGAAGGAACGATCGAGCGACGCCGCCGGCGCACAGTTCGGTCCGCGACGCCGAGGCGGCATAGCCGGGTTCGCCGAGCGATTCGATCCCGGTCGCATTCCCCGTCGCATTGTTGCCCGAATCGTTC